GCATTGGGCAGACGTCGGGAGTCAGACCCCCCCCCCCGTCCCCCCTTCCGCCCAGCGTCTAGGAAAAACAAAAGCGCGCACAAGGCTTAGTGCAGCCTTCCGAGCGCTTTCGAATATTCCCCTTGCGTCGAAGCGATGGGAGCTCTGCCCGCAGGTGGAACATGTCGACGTTTGCGCGGGGCACGCTGCGTGCAGCAATCTACCGAGTGCCAGAATGTCGCGCCGGTTACGGGGTGGCACTCTACAGCGTGAGGTCCCCGAGAATTTCCCGAGGATTCTGCGCGCTGCCGATTCCCGCAGGATTCGCAAAGACTCTTGAGGGCTACGCAAGATTTCCTCTAGGCTTCCTGTAGACAGTTTCAAGGATTTGGTTGAAGTTTTTTGAAGAGTGCGAAAGGATTCCCCAACAATTATCCTGAAAGGAGTCCCACGGATTCTTGCAGGCTGTGCCCGCGTTTCCAGGACACGCGATCCTCGCAAATAGCGCCGCGCCCGCGCTCCCAGGTCCACGATCCACTGGAAACAGGGATGCTTTCGCAGTCCCAAGGCTAGGGCCCAACATAGATTACAGTGTGTCCGCCGCCTGGACAGATCCGTCGGATTTCCCACGATTCACGCGGATTCTTCAATATTCCTACACGTTCCGACCGGTTTCTGTAGATTGCCCGAAAGTTCCTGAGATTCGGCAGGTCAGGTTGGGTGGGACTATAGGATTCGCGTCGGCTGCTGATGGTTCCTCCACATTTCCTCATGCTTTTTTTGCGGGGCACTTTAGGATTTGAAAGATGTCTGCAGTTCTTGGATGGATCCAACAAGCTTCTGGGCGGAATCCTGAACATATTCCCGCGGATTCTTGCAGGCTGTTGGAGGATCTTTTATGAATGTCGTAAGTTGCGCTGCGCACGCGCTCCCAGGAGACGAAACTTGCAAATTGCGGGGGGCCGTGCTCCCAAGGCAACGGTCTAATTATGGGAAATGACGTTGTTTGAGCATTCCCAGGGCCACGATCCCGCCTTCGCAAATGGGAGTGCGCCCGCGCTCCCATGGCCAGGATACGTAGTAGTATTTCTGTGCGTCCGCGCACCCAGTACCCATTTGAGTTCTAATTCGCCGATCCGTCGGATTCTTTGGGTTCCAAGCGGTCCTCAACACTCCTACAGATTCCGGAGGATTCCTGTCCCGAAGGATTCCGGAGGATTCTTGCAGGTCTTTTGCCGATTATTAGGGGACTTGTGAGGATTCCTGAGGGTTCTTCAAGATTGTCGCCAAGTTTCCTGGGGGGCCCTCCCAGAAACTGTAATAATTCGGTAGTTTCTGAAGGAATCCAAAATGATCCCCGAAGGATGCTTGACAAGATTCCCGCGGATTCTTGCCGGTTGTTGAGGGATCCCTTTGTAAATCGCGTTGCGTCCGCGCTCCCAAGACACAAGGCCCTTGTTGTATGGCGCCTGCGCTCCCTCGGCCCCGATCGATAGGAAATCAGAGCACCTGCGCATTCCCAGGGCCACGGTCGTCTGAACAGTACGTTCCGCCCGCTCTCCCATAGCCAGGATCTGTGGTACACAACGTTGTGCCCGCGCTCCCCAGGCCAGGATCCATTGTGCCTGCGGCCCTGAGAGATCCGTCGGGTTCTTCGGATTCCAGAATATTTCCCAGTATTCCTACAGGTTCCGGGGGATTCCTTTGGGATTCCAGAAGGAGTCTGGAGGATTCGTGCAGGTTTGCTGCCGACGCCTGGAGGATTTGCGTGGCTTCCCGAGGGTTCCTCAAGATGTTCTCAAGGTTTCTTGTGCGGCCATTCAGATTCTGGAGGGTTGCTGAAGTTTCTCAAGGAACCCAATAATATGTCCGAAGGAGACCTGACAAGGATTCTTGCGGGTTGCTGAAGGATCATGCGTACATTGCGCCGGGTCCGCGCTCACAGGACGCCGACCCGTGGGAAAGAAGTGTGGTTGGGCACTCCCCGGGCCACCATCCCGCCCCCCCCCCAGTTGGGAATGAATTCGCTTATTCGGTGTGCCAACAAATCGCGGGGGGGGGGGGGCGTATTTCGGTGGCATCCCCCCTCCATTGATTTGGGTTTTCGGCGCCATGGACAACACCAAGGGGTTCTCAATGGTTTCTCACGGTCACGGGGTCCTTGGCGAGAACAGGATTTTGAACATGAATGCCATTCCGCCGCCGTAGTTGCTGGCGATGGTTTGCATGCGATTGTCGAGCAGCTGTTTCAAATCATGACCTTGAGGCTGTATGCGAGTATATGCCAGAGGCGGCGTGCCAGCATCAGCTTGTAGACTGGGCTGAAAACGGAGATGCTGGCGAGGCACAGCAGAAATCCTGCGGGGGCGGCCCTCCGACGAGCAGGCCGCTGGCAGGGGCCAGGTTGGGTCAGTTATGACAGGAGGTGGGGGTCGAGGTAAAACCAAACTAGTTCCCTGAACAGCTTGTTTGTCTGAGTTCTAAAACTTTTCTCAAAGAACCTCGTATGTGCGCTTCGAGATCCGCAATCGGTCGGGCGGCGTGGTCTCCAATCGCCTCCCGTGGGTTGCCAGATCGGGAATCGGCTGGAGGCCGTGGCCTCCTGTGACCTCCCGCCGTAAGTCGATCGGTATTGGTATGAACAGTTCGGAAATACGCATGATACTAGTATTTGCTGTACAAGGTTGGTGTTCGTGTCAGCACTTGTCCCCGTAGCAGTGCGAGCTGTACTAAGATAATTTGTGTTCTCTGTATTCGTAGTAGTACGAGTCGTAGTTATACTGTGAGGTTCCGCATCACTCGTTCTAGTCGCACTCGTGGTGGTAGTCGTGGTAGTAGTGGAAGTAGTCGTAACCGTGGTCGTAGCATTAGTTGTTGTTGTGTTCTTAGTACCAGGCGCGGTACTTAGTATTAGGCTGAGGAGTAGGAGTAGAGTTTGGTATAGAAGTGGCCGCTGCAGTATTGGAACGGGTAGTTCCTCGTTCTATCCGGATGGGCAGGAGTTAGTACCGCAGTAGAGGACGAGAGATCGACGCCAAGGTCTTTGCTTGGGAAGTTGTTCAGGGACTCCTGCCGCAGGGGTGGCATCTCTTGTGGGGGGAGCGTGCCCGCCAAGAGATGGGCTCCAGGAGGTGAAGCGTTGGGGCCAGGCTGAGGGCAAGATGGGGACGGAGCTTGTCGGGAGCGGTCTGAGCGGCAGAATGAATAGGAGGGGGTCGACGGTGCGGAACTTCGCACGTAAGTTTCCCGCGTAAGGTCGCGCGCAAGCGCCCCATTCTCCGACGCGGCGTGTCGTGCTGGTGGCTCGCATCAGCCGCGGCGTGGTGTCGCCAAGTCCTCTTGCGTAAGGCCCGATTCGTACGCCGCTTATTATGTGGAAATGAATTGAAAATCAGCTGGGGTCGCGCCGCGGCGAAGACAGGTGCCGGGAGTTGTGGGTTCGGGGCCACGCGGCGATCAAAGGCGCCACATGGAGTCGGCATCTTTGGGCTGGTGCCTTGAGGGGCGCTCTCCGTGAGGTTGGGCATCTGGGCCAGGCAGAGGTTGGAACGTTGTCGAAATCCTTTGAGTTGTTCGTGCGGACCAACGTAGAGTGACTAAGTTCAGAATCACTCTGGCTCAAGTACGTTCGAACCCTACCCTACAAGCCCGGTGCCTGGCGCACTTGCGTTTCACCAGCTGCAATGGTCTCGCGCCATGTTGGTGGCTTGCTCGCTGTGCTGGCTGTTCCTGCGCGGGCTCTTGTTCGCGTTCACACAGGGGCGGAGGTCGAGGCGGACAGTGAGGCGATCGTCTCGATGGCGACGCTCTCAGCAGAGGAGTGGGAGAAGGCTCACGAAAGTACCTACGAGAAAGAGTTCACAGTTGAGTTGGACATGACGCTCGCCAGTCGTGGCGTTGCCATCGGGGCAGAGTTGTGGAGCCAATCCGACCACGACCCGCTCGTCGTGCTGAAGAAAGGCGACGTTGGCCTGGTGGAGACTTGGAACAGGGCGCATCCAGAGAAGGCCGTGCAGGTCGGAGATGAGATCTTCAGGGTTGGCGACTTCAAGTGGAAGCATCGCAACGAGATCTTCATCGGCCACCTCAAGAAGCAGTTCGGGATCCTGAAGGAGCAGAAGCAGGGCATGCCGACCGTCCTTGAGCTCGGTATCCGGCGACCCAGGAAGGCGAATGCGCAGCCGGAGGCCCCCGTGGATACGGAGCCCCCGAGTCTGCTTGGAACTGATGCTCAGGTCACCAGGGTCTTCGAGGTCGATCTCGATCCGTCGGTGGCTTATTCAATGGTTGACCAGAACTTCAATACCCCAACAGCCAGCGACATGACTGTCAGTAAGATCCCCCCAGGTAGCCCGATTGACGTCTTCAACAAGGCGAATCCCACAAACCAAGTTCATGTCGGCGACACAGTCACAGCAGTGAACGGAGCCCTATGGTCCGGCAACTCCATGATGTTTCTGAAGATGCACAAGATGGTCGAGTTGAGTCACAAGGCGGGCAAGCCAGGGAAGGGCGAGCCTTCAGTTCTGCCGCTGAAGTTGCGTCTTCAGCGTCGCCAGTAGCCCTTTTGACATCACACACGCGGTGAGCAGAGCACCAGTGCATCCGATGCGAAGGACCAGGATGATGAAAAGGTTGCGCCACACGTAGCAAGCGAACGCTGTCGTGCCGTGGAACCAGGGAACCTGGTGTCTGAGCCAAGTGGGAACCATTTGTTTGAAGAATGCGGGGGGGGGGGGCGCGAGGTAGACATTAAGTAAACAACGACGAAGAACGTGTTCGCTTGCGTCGGCATTTGCGCGTAAGCTTTTCCGCGTAAGGTCGCGCGAAGTCTTTTTCACACGGTGTGTAAGAACGCTTTGTCGTCGTGCTCAAGGCCCGTTTGCAGTCGTCGCTCCAGTGGGTTCAGTAGTGTCCACCTTCACGGACAAGCAGGTGCCAACGTGCACGGTTTGGGGGTCGGGTGGGTGCCGATGCATTAGCCAATACACATGTGGGAACATGCAGGGTGTGAGCACCACTAGAGACAGATGTGTTGGTAGCGGGGGAGAGAATGCGACCGTGTGGGCAATGTCAGGATGTTCCAGACGAGTGGAAGTTCGTTATCTTGGTGCCCGTCGGGAGAGAAGCGTCAGTTCCGTTGCCATTTGATTGTGAGCGTGCTTGTACACACTCGTTTTGCGATCGGCTGGCGCCCTCACACTGGGCCAGCTGCAATGATTTCGTATCATATTCTCTTACTGGTTTTGGCTGTGCCTGCGCACGCCCTCGCCGGCATCAAGTCGGGCAGCAGGCCGGGCGCGGCGGTGTCCACGCTGCAGACGGCGACGGAGGCCCAGGCGAGCAGGCCGAGGGTGTCTGTTCTGCAGACGGAGGCCGAGTCGGAAACCGAGTCGATGGTCTCGATGTCGACGCTCACGGCCGATGAGTGGAACAAGTATCACGATGCCAACTACGAGAAGGAGTTCACGATTGAGCTGGACATGGCTGCCGCCCATGGTGGCATGACCATGGGAGCAGAGCTCTGGAGCAAATCCGATCACGATCCGCTCGCCATGTTGAGGATGGCCGATGAGGGTCTCGTGATGAGATGGAACAGGGCCAACCCTGACAAGGCCGTGCAGATCGGCGATGAGCTCATCCAGGTGGGCGATTTCAAATGGAAACATCACAACAAACAGTTCATTCAACAACTCAAGGACCAGTTTGGTGTTCTCAAAGAGCAGTTGCCCGGAATGCAGAACGTATTGGAGCTCCGTGTCCAGCGTCCTAAGCAGTCGAAGGTTGCCCCGAGTTTTCTTCAAACGGAGCCAGGTGCGAAGGTCGCCGTGAAGGTCTTCGAGGTCGAGCTCGATCCGACGTTGATGATGGCGATGGTGGAGCAGAATTTCGACACCACCGAAGGTAGCAGCATGACTGTGGTCAACATCCCCACGAACAGCCCGCTTTATTCTTATAACGCGGCTAAGCCCAAAGATCCAGTGCAGGTCGGCGACACAGTCATAGCAATAAACGGTTCTCCATGGACTGGCAGTGCTAGGTCTTTCCTTGCGATGCACAAGATGGTGGTGGAGAGTCAGACGGAGAACCTCCAGAAAGGCAAGCCACTGGGCGATCTCCAAGCTCCCACTCTGAAATTGAAGATGGAGCGGCGCCCACCGCACAAGAAGTAGGCTCCGACATGCACTGTGCAAACACAGCTCAATATACCGGTTGTATATTGCAAGGACGTTTTAACGAGCAGCATTGTTTTCCACTGAGCTTGACCGCCCTCCTTGGGCTGGGCGCGGGCGGGCTCGGCATCTCCAGAGGTCGGACGGTTGTGTGGTATATACGGGTAGGCCACGCGGTATCACGATGTGATCATCGATTCGCTATGCTTGGTGTATTCCACATCGCACTGACGCCCGCAACATTCACTAATAGAGTCATCATGTTGCGGTACCGATCATGTGCATATAGTGTGAATGAGCTCAACGCTTGAGGAGTGGCAGTCGAGGGAATTGCGACCTCGGAGTAAATGTTCGAGTTTCTGAAATCACGTTTTGTGATGCCTAGTTTGCCGTTACGACGTTTCATACTTTCCTGAATCTTGGCCTGTCTTTAACAGTATTAACCCCAATATCCAACATTTCATTAACTTGGTTTGGTTCTTATGAGGCGTCGATCCCGTAGTTTCGGAAACAAGTGTTCGTAGATCGTTGGTATGTAGTGCCGCTGGGACTCCGAAGTCTGGGAGTATGTTTTCGGGCAGTTGAAACCACGCGATCTGACACTGTTGAAGTCGCTGTTCACATTTGTCGCGAAGCCACCTCGGTTAAAATCAACATGTTTGTGGCTGTTGTTGGTGTTGTGGTTGTGGTTGTGGTTGTTGTTGTTGTTGTTGCTGTTGCTGTGGTCGTGGTTGTGAATGTGAATGTGGTTGTGGTCGTGGTCGTGGTTGTGGTTGTTGTTGTTGATGATGTTGTTGTCGTCGTCGTCGGCGTCGTGTTGTGTGTGTGTGCGTGTGCGTTTTTGCAAACGGGCATGACATCTCCGCTTCCAGTAATGTCATCACGCCTGTTCACACCACACACCTTGCCCGACCTCTGAAGCATCGCTGCATCTGGCATCCAGGACCCAGGCTACACCAGGCGGGAATCCAAGCAGAGGTCGAGGGCGAAACGTTGGAGTGAATCATCACCTGCATGGCTCGTGACCCGTAGCTGCGATCGGAATCTGACACATGCCCATCTTGCGAAGGCCAGTCTGGCATTGCCCGTGTCCAGAGGGTGTTGCGGCCGCAGTGTCTGCGGGCCTGCGTTCGCCGGGCCTGGTCCCAGGTCGTTTGTATCCAAGAGTGTTTTTTCTGATAAAAGGGAGAGCTGTCCACCCCCCGAGACGAGAGGCAGGTGCCAGGAGGTGGGGAGTGAGTCATTTGGCAGGCCAGGCAGGAGACCGGGTGGTGGCGCATCACGGGGCCAGCGGCGTTGGTCCAGGCGGGGGACTTGGCAGAGGTGCGACGTCGATAGACAGGGAACGCTCAGCATCGTTTGAGCGATTCCCGCCCCGACTGGGCCATGGTATCTCAGCCCCGCCAGCCCCCCCAAGGTGGGGATAGGCTCCCCGAAACCAAAAGGAAACATCATATCATATACGACCACTCTTCGGGTGCTGGGCAGGTTGTGGGGTGGGGGGGTAGAGGGGGGGGGAACCAACATCAGACTCAATCGATCTCACTATCAATCCCACTCAACGGGACACCACGGGACACTGTCAATCTCTTTATCGATCTCACTATCGATCTCACTCAACGGGACACCACAGGACGTCACGGGACACCTCAGGACACTTCTTCGATCTCACTAACGATCGCCCTATCGATCTCACTATCGATCTCACTCAACTGGACACCACGGAACACCACGGGACACCATTTCGATCTCATTATCGATCTTTCTATCGATCTCACTATCGATCTCATTCAATGGACACCACGGGACACCATGGGACAGTACGGGACACCTGTCGATCTCATGATCGATCTCGCTATTGATCCCACTTTTTGGGACACCGCGGGTCACCTCGGGGCACCACATCGATCTCACTATCGATCTCATTGTCGATCTCTTTATCGATATCACTCAACGGGACGCCACGGGACACCACGGGACACCAGACACCACGGGACACCATGGGACAGTACGGGAACGAGCGGGCGGGTGAGCAACATTTGTCTTGACTTCGCCCTAGCAGCGGCGCGGGTTCATTCCTGTCGCGCGTCCACGCAGCTTCGCCTCGCCCGCACGCACGACGCGAACGAAACGAAACCATTTTTCCGGTTACGCGGCGCGCAATAGTTGTACCATTTAGTCCGTTCGCCCACTCAGGAAGATATGGGTCGACGTTCGTGTGGCAATGTTCAGACGTAAGCCAGGCTTGGGTCCGAAGCAAATTTGACGTCGTTCGACGTGAACCCGTCGTACATTCGATTTGGACCTGACGCTAATGGGTCTCAAGTTGCAGCGCGAGGCCTCCAGGATTTTCCTCACAACGTCTGGGCTGGTCGGGGGATCGATGGCGTTGAGGAGCCCAGGGTGGATATCTCTTGAGATGCGCACTGGGTGCCCACTTGTCAGTTGGGAGGTGCCAGGAGGTGCAGCGTCGGGGCCCGACGGAGGACTGGGTGGGCAGCCAGGCCAGGGGCGTCATGAAAATGAGTGGGGATCGGAACGGTCTGCGGTTCAGCGTAGAAACGACATTTGCCAGAATTGCAAAAAAACTAAAAATGCAAAAAAAAAAAAATGTTGTTTTTTTTTTCCCCCCCATTTTTTTTTGTGCAGTATACGGGCCGTTCTGGTGATTGGCAATCGACGGTCCACGCCCGGGAGTTGGACTGTCTGGGTCAAGCGGGCTCTCGACGAAGAGTTGAACATGGGGTGCCAATCTGTTCAGGCTGTGCTCATGAACAGGCAGCTACCTGAGTGCTAGGTGCTGGTGCCAGGCGTCTGTGGCCAAATCGAAGCCAGGGCGCAATCATATTGTGAACATACATCGATGTTCACATGCATTATACCGAACGATGAATACCAGGTCCCCGGCCCTGTGGGCCCGGCCCACCTCTGGGACATACAGGGTACGCCTACATGCCACACCCACCCCCGAGGGGCCTTGGGAGGGCTTCGCCTGGCGCCAAGACAGCCCAGAGTATTTCCGACACCGCCACAGAGGGCCCCAAGAGGCACCAAAGAGGGTAAGGAGGCCGCCCAGACGGCCCACAATGTTTCAAGATGGCCCAGCAGGCCCCCTAGAGGCCCTCCAGGAGGGGCCAAAGATGCACAATCCAGACGGCCTAAGAGGCCCCCAATAGGCCCGCAAGACATCCCAGGAAGCCCCCAAGACGGCCTAAAAGAGCCCAGGGGGGCCCCCAGATGAAGGGTGTCCGAACTGACATCTTGAGCCCGCCCTTAACAAATTGCTTAGGAGACTGGCATCAGGGTCCCAAGTGGCTTCTCAGAGGCCACCAGAAGGGCGAGAGGCCCCAACGACGCGCCCAAGAGCCTTCAAGAGGCTGCCCAGAGACCCCAAACATTAACTGCAAGAGGCCTCCCACCAGACCAAAAACAACTTCCCAAGCGGACGTCCAGTCTACGACCCAGGAAAGGTGGTGGGTTGGGTTGGGGATCTCACGACAACCGAAAGAAGTCCCAAGATGTTCTCGAGATTGCCTACTACGCGACCTCCGAAAGGGCCCCAGAGCGCGCCCAGATGAGCCCCCCACCCAGGAGGACGAGGACGAGTAGAAGAGGGAGGGGGAGGATGGGGAGGCCCAGGAGGACGAGAAAGAAAGGTTTAAGAACAGTTCAACGGATGAGGTGGGGGAGGAGGAGGAGGAGGAGGAGGAGGAGGAGGAGGAGGAGGAAGAGGAAAGTGGGGGAGGAAGCCCAGGAGTGGGACGAGGAGGACGAGTATGAGGCAGAAGGAACGCAGGAGGGCGAGCATAAGCAAGAGGAGAAGGAGGACCAGGAGGAGGAGGATAATAAGGGGGGAAGTGGTGGGACATGTCTCTTCTGCCCTTTGAGGATGATGCCCTTGTCGCAGTCGTCTCAACGCATGTTCAATACATGCGTGTAGTTGTACACATGCGCAGCTGTGTTGCTGTCGAGGGCCAGGGTGTGCTATAGCTGTAGCGCGCGCCAAGCGCGCGTGGCAACACGTATACGTTATGTGTAGTGGCATGCACACGTGTATGTATGCATTTCCGTATGTATATGCCTATGTACGTGTGTATGCATGCATGCATGTATGTATGTGTATGTGTGCGTGTGTTTATGTATGCATGTATGCATGATTGGATATATGTAGGCAAGCATGGCATGCATACATGCATGCATGAATGTGTGCAAGTGTGTATGTATATATACATGCATGTATGCATGTAAGCATGCATGTGTACATACATGCATGTATGCATACATGAACGTATGCATTGATGGGTCGATGTGAGCATGCATGTAAGTACGTACGTACGTATGTATGAATGTGTGTATGCATGCATGCATGTATGTATGTATATATATATATGTATACATACATGGAGATGGCATTTCCAGAACAGCCTGTCGGGCAGGTTCATCAAGTTGCCTTTTGTGCACACGCCATTGTGCAACCATGTGGTGCTAAACTCAGTGTCATGTTGGCTTCATGGGTTGGGTCCGCCGTTGCTGTGGCAACCCGCAAGACGGCGAACTCTTGGAAGCACAAGGATCGGCCCTCGAACCTTCGTCCTTTGGCTCGCTGGGCGATTCAGCTTTTATCGTCATCTGGCCTCGTGGCCCTGCCCAACGATACAGAGGTCGGATTCATATTGGTACCCCAGAAGCACGATAAGTTGTACGACGAGTACTCTGGGAGTGGGTCTATCAGTCACGTAAAGCACCAACATGTCAAATTGCTGCGAGACGGTGCCATCTTCGAGGACGACGCTGGCCTTGCTTCGCGGCTGTGCAACAGTCTTTCTGCAGAAGGAGCGGGCTCCACTGCAGAGTTTCAAAAAGCGGTGCGAGATGCACAATAGTTTTGTCACCTCCCGTCCTGTGCACGCCCTCTCGCGATACTCATGTGCTGCTTTGTCCAAGTGGGTGGCCCGAGTGCTCCGCCAACGTGTTCAGGATGTTGATTGAATGGTCAAGGATGCCGCAGCGGCGGCTCGAACATTCTGAGAACTGAAGGTTCCCGTCGATTTAATTGTGAAGTTTTGCAATGTCGACGTGGACGAATTTTTCATGTCTGGCGTCACAGAGGATCTCATCTCGGACGCCACTTCACATATGTTTGGAGCGCAGAAGATATTGTAACGCGTGCGCTGAAGATTCTTCTATCAAGTAAATTTGTCTGCAGCCCGCACTTCCCGAACACCAAGTTCCAGGTGAGTCGTTGCATTGGAATGGAACTCGTCCGTTATGGTGACGTCGCCTACGTTTGCCTGGCTATGTCGATGGAGGCTTGGGCAACTAACTTGCCTGTTAGGTGGCAGCACAGGGTGTGGGTGTACATGCGTTTTGCGGATAATGTCCTGGTTGGATATTCGCGTCGCGGCCTGTCGCTGCAATTCTTCAACGAGATGTGCAGCGGGGCAGACTGTTTTCGAATAGTTCGCGAACCTGCTAATAGGAGAATCATGACGCAGCTGGTGTTCAATACTACCACGTTGCCCATCCTTTGATACAAGTGGGGATGCTGCGCACACGCACCGGTGGCGGCCGATCGCTGTGCTCCGATGTTTGTTTTCCCTTGTGCAGCACGTTTTCCCATGCTCGTGGAGCACGCGTATACTGTTCGAACAAATTCATGTCTGTTCCAGTTTCGTCCTCCCTTGTTTGGCATATGCAATCGTGGCGGCCGGCTACTAGCGGGCGCGGGCGCAGGGAACGTGACATCACCCGCGATGTGGCCTCGTTCAAAGATTCCGAGTGCTTTCCCTTGAGTCCAACCCAGCGGCTGAGACGGCGCATGTCTGGGGAAGCGCCCAAAACGGTCGTGAAATCGGCCCTTAGACCACGTTCGCTAAGGCGAAAACAATCGTCAATTCAGCTCCAGCACTTCGCGCGTCAAGACGAGAGAAGCCGCCAACTCGGTCCCGACATCTTGTTGGTCAAGGCCGACGTCGCTTTTAACCAGCAGCTCGGCCCCGACGCTTTGGCCGTCAGGGGGGTTCGCCGATTCCGAGGGAGGCCGTCACGGGGGTTCGTAACCCAAGAGGGAAGCCGCCAAGTGGGTTCGTCAAGGGGGGTCGTCAACTTGGACGGAGGCCGTCCAGGGCGTTCATCAACTCGGAAAGAGGCCGTCAAAGGGGGTTTGCCGTCGGAAGTAGGCCGTCGAGGAGGTTCGTCAATTCGGAGTTGACGGCCGAATTCTTTCACTAAGATGGAATTGGCGGCTCAAGCGCCGGATAAAGTATACATGATCATCCGTCGCGGCGCCCAGGCCCACCTCCAGGCCTGCCGCCCACGACAGACCCAAGCTTCCCTCATGTGTTGGCAGATGGTCTTAGGCCATGCGTCAAGTAGGGGTCGCGTGGAGGAGCGTTCTCCCGAGTCAGCTGCAGGTCGCGCAGGCTGACCGCCAACGCACATCCGAGGACTCTAAATGGAGGTTGGTTGGGGCTGCGGCGGGGCATAGCAATGGCAATTATTTCCATTGGTTTCTCCATTGCTTTCAGTAGCTTTCTGGGTGATGAGGGGCGCCAATTTCCAGCTCAGGATCCCAAGGCCTAGCAGATAGCCCCCAACCAACAAGTAATGCGCCCGCCCAGAGTGTTTTGCGTGCGTGTGCGCGTGTGTTTTGGAGATCTCTGCGAGCCCACATTCTTGTCATGCGAGCGTGTCTCTTTCTACATAATGCGCAGATATGTCAGTGCGTGCACGGGGAGGTCGCGAGCGAAATGACATGATGCGCCACTGCAGAAACGAGCCGTTTAAACTGGGAGGACCCTTGGACTCCATAGCCATCTTCGGTTCGAGATGGCCCGGGTGCCTCTTGGGCCCTGGGCGGTCCTCGCCGTGGGACTGCTCCACCTGGCTTCGCGGCCCTTCCAGTTTCCTGGCGCGCTACCGGGGGCCCCGCCCTGCGCGCTGGAGGCGGCGCGCCCGCCCGCGCGGCTGCCGCCCGAGGGCCTAGGCGAGGCCGACCCGCCGTGCCCGGAGGCGCCCTCCTGCCCAGCGGCGCTTGCGGTCTGCCCGTCATGGTGGACCCCGCGCCGGCGCCGGCGGAGGAGGGCCCCGTGGGCGCCCTCGTGGCGGCTGCTCCTGGCTTGCCAGTGGCGCTGCCGCAGGAGGCGGGCCGCTGCGCTCGGCGCTGGCGCGGCGGAGCTCGCGGGGCTGCGGAGACGCGCGAGCCCGTGAAGGATGGCGCTGCTCCCGCGCGACGCGGGGCTGGAGTGGCGGAGGCGCCCGGCGCCCGGGCAGCGGCTCGTCGCCCGCTACAGCGACGACCCTGTCGACCGCGAGCGGGCCCTCCTCTTCCCGAGCCTGCGCCCTGGCACGCGGGTGGCTCGCGCGCCAACCGAGGGCGAGCGCGGGGGGGACTTCGCGGGCGTGGATCCAGCCTCGGGCCCCGAGGGGGCTGCGTTGACGCCTGCGGACGGCAGCGCCCCGCCGGATTGGCCGCGCCCGATCTACCGCTTCAGGGCGCCGATGACGCGCGCCGAGCTTCGGGCGGCCATCGAGCTCGGCCGCGCGATGGTCGAGGCACGTCTCCCTGGGGTCGCGCTTGCGGAGCCGCTGGAGGCGGCGACCGCCGACGGCGAGCTTCTGGCCCGGGCCTTTTTCGGCCGCGAGCCGCGCCCAGGAGCGCATCGGCCGCGTGGCAAGCAGCCACCTGCGCCATTGGCGGACGACCGCATCTGGGTGGTGGCCGAGCCGACCGCGAGCGCCGCCGTCGGCGCCGCGGTGGATCGGTCCGACGCGCGCTTCGCGCCAGGGGCTGCGCTGGTGGCCTCGTTCGCTTTCGACGAGGGCCTGCGCCGAGCGGGGGCGCTGCTGGCGGAGGACCTGCCGGGCTATGCGGCGCGCCGCCGCGGCGAGATGGGGCTGAGCCCCGAGACGTCAGCCCCGGCGGACCTCCGCAGACGCCTGGGCCGTTCGGCGCTGCCCAACGGGGATGCTGCTGCTGCTGCCGGCGTCGGAGGCGCCAGGGCACCGCCCGCTGCCGACGGCGCCTCGCTGGGAGGAGACCTGCGCGCCCTCGAGGTGGACTTCGACCCGCAGGGGGAGAGGTTCAAGACCTTCAGGGCGGCGTGCCGCGAGACGACCCAGGAGGTCTTCCCGGATCAGCCGATAGAGGGCCCCGCGTCGGCCTTGACGGTCTGCAAGAACATGGGGCGCACGAAGGCGCCCGCGGCTGTGGCTCCGCGACTTGTTGAGGTCGAAGGGCCTGGGTGAGAACGATCGGGTGGCCCGCGAGTTGAAGGCGTTGTGCGACATCCTCTACTGGGCCGCCGTGTACGACCAGGTGAACCTGGGAGGCTCGATGCGCCCCTAGACGGCAGCGCGCCGTGCGGCTGGCCTGGTGGCGGTGCACTCGGGCCCCGCCAAGCCCGTCTGGGGGCGCGCGCGGCTCTACACGGGCGCGGCCTCCTCGGATGACAGTGCAGGGCAGGCGCTGCTGCAGTGCGCCACCGGGAAGATCAAGGAGCAGCAGGGGGCCTAGTCGGCGCCCGCCTTCGGAAAGGGACCGCAGCGCCAGGCCGATGAGGAGGTTCCCGACGGCAAGGGCAGGCCAGGACGACCGCCGCCGAAGGGGGGGGAAGGGGGTGGAGCCGATGCCCCCCCCCCCCCCCCCTCAAGGGGCCATGGCGGCCCCCGCGGCCAGGGGGGGCCGCTTCCGGCCGAGATTCAGGGGTAGAGCGCGGCTGGCTTGCCGCCGCGCGTTTCGCCGGGGAGCTGTTCCCGCTGCCTCGCTGGCGCCCGCCGAGTCTGCCTGGCGACGACTGCGCCCGGGGTCGAGCCCTCTGGCGGCGCGAGCGGCTGGCGCTGAGGATGGGCAGCGAGGCGGTGGACGCGCTGAACTGGCTCGCGGGCTTTCGGAACGGACCGACGTACTCCGACCCCGATCCGATGCAGTTCGAGCGGATCTGGGAGTTGGCCTCGCGGCGGCACCCAGGGCCAGATGCTTTCAGTGAGCGCGCGGCCGTCCGCCGGCTGCTGCGAGGGCATGCGCCGCGCGATGGGGCGGGTTGCCTCGCCTCGTCTCCTCTCGTTGCCCGAGACAGCGGAGGGGCGCCCGCCGTTCGAGGACGCGCCCCCCCCCCCCGAGGCCCAGCGCTTCCTGAAGGAGTGCCCCGAGCGCGTGCTGAGCGACGGAAGCCCGACACCAACTGCGATGCCGCACTTCGACCAGTCGCTGAAGCGGAGCGCCAAGACCTATCGACATGTTGTCGCTGACCTGCGGCGCCGCGGCCCGTTGCAGCGGGCGCGCCGCCCCCGCTGCCAGGTGGGTCCCTTCTTCTTGGAGAAGGACAGCGGGAAGCGGCTGCGCCTCATCCTGGCCGCGCGGCTTGCTAACGAGCTCTTCGAGGCCCCGCCTGGCGCGGAGCTCCTCAGCGCGCGGGCTCTCAACCGAGTGGAGCTCGCATTGCCCGAGTGTACCCCTGGAGCCCAGAGGCGCAGCAGTTTTTGCAGGGCTGCAACCTCCATTTGGGGCTCGCGGACGTCAAGGACTGCTTCCACCGCCTGCGATTCCCGAGCTGGCTCACCGAGTACTTCTGCCTCCCCGAGGCCCCCGCCTTCGCCCTGGTCGTCGAGGGCCAGCTCTGGGAGGGCCGCCCGGTGGAGCTGCATGGCCTGGCGAATGGGCTCCACCTGGAGCCCGTGGGCCGCGCAGCGCATCAACGAGAGCAAGGTGATGCAGATTTGCCCCCATCTGGCACAGATCCCTCTGACTGCCAGAGGCAGGCCGCCCGTCTCTGGCCCGGCGGACCCTGTCGGCCACGTTGCCAATAGCGTCTACGTGGGCAACCTTGGCGTCGCCCTTGCCTCGGAGCCCTTGGTCTCCGACGCCGTGCAGCAGCTCGTCCGTGGCTTCGACGAGCAGGGCTCGTTTCTTCGCGGCAGGTCCGTGAGCATGGAGGCCGAGACCCTAGGCACCGAGGTGTCGGGGCCCCGCTGGAAGACCAGGGTCACTCAGGAGCGCTTCTGGTGGATCAGGCAGGCGATCAACGGTCTACGTCGCAGACGTCGTCTGACTGGCTGGGCCGTGGAGGTCCTGGTGGGCCACTGCACTTGCTCTGGACTGCCGGCGCGCGGCGCCCTCAGCGTCATCCACGCGGCCCACGCCTTCACAAGGAAGTTCTACGCCACAACCGCGACGCCCTGGCTGGATACCCGCGCGGAGCTGGAGGTGTTCCGAGGCTTGTTGATCTTCCTGGAGAGCGACTGGGCGTTGCTGTGGAAAGAGTTGGCGGTGGCCACCGACAGCAGCCTGAAGGCAGGATGAGCATCTACCACCCGCTGATCTCGAAGCATTGTGGCCGAGGCAGGCCGCATGCAGGAGAGGGCCCGCTTCCGCGAGGTCGTTGCTGGGCCGCTGGCGGCTGAGGACGGCGGCCTCCCCGCAGCCCGCCGCGGGGCCCGAGGGGCCGCGCTGGTGGCGGCGGGCTTCTGGCGGGACGGCGGCGGTCAGTGGCGGCTAGCCGACGCGGGCGACGACGCGCAGCTGGCCGCTGTTGGGGGGGCCGACCCAGGCTCCCCAGAGGTGCCCGCGGCGGGGCTTGCGAGCAGCCGCTGCCGCACTAAGCAGGTGCTTCGCTGGAGGTTCGAGGAGGGCATCCTTATCAAGAGAGCCCGATCGCCGGCGATGGGCATCCGTCGCATCGCCCAGTCAGTGTTCGGGGCTGCCTGCCGTCAACTCATTCTGTCGGATAACATGTCCGTTGTGCTATCTCTTAACGGGAGTCGAGCAAAAGAGTTCGCCCTTCTCGTCCAGATCCGCAGGTTCCACGCCTATCGTCTTGCGAGGAATGTGAACGTGTCTGTCCGATGGGTTCCCTCCGAATTGAATCCAGCCGACTATGGGCTTAGAGTCTTTGATAAGCAAGTGGCCAAGTGGCCTCTCGGCTCGCAGTTGCTTGATACTTTACCTTCAACGGAGTTGCTTTTACAGGGTCCCCCCATGGTTCTCGCTCCCTTCGTTTTCAATCAGTCACCGAGTCCTGAGTCTGCAGTCGAAGTTTCCTCGTTGTGCGAGCTCCCGGATCGTTTACCTCTCGGAGCGTTGAGCCAGGCTCATCGGGTCTCAATCCTTTTTCACCGAGTCAGCTCTCGCCCTGTGTATTCGGAGTGCTGCCTGACGTCCTCGTGCCCCATGTCGGCTCAAACGTTTGATAGGGCGGAGCCTTTTGACCCTTGGCCCGCCTCGCATGCGGCGGCGGGAGCTTGCGCGGGCGGCGCCGCCGCCCGCCCCCTTGCCCGCGGCCGAGCGGAGGCGCCAGCTGGAGCGACCGTCGCAGGCGCCGGCCGTAGCGAGGCCCCCGCAGTTGCCGCGGCCTGCTCCGACGAGCGCAGGGCTGACCCCAGCGCCGCGCCGCCAGAAGACGCTGTCGGCGTCCCAGCGGTCGCGGAGCTGGATGGCTCGCCTGAGCTCGGCTGCGCTGCCGCCGACGCCTCGGCCCCCAGGGCGGGGCGCGGGCTTGCTGGCCCCCCCAGGACTGGCAGCGCCAGATCGCGGCCCACAGCGACGGCGACAGCAGCACCTCCGACGAGCAGCAGGTCGTGCAAGCCGGCGAGAGGCGCGAGAAGGAGTTGCTGAGGCGCGCTGCAAAGAGGAAGAGGACCTACGGAGCGGAGGCGCTGCAGGACAGTGCAGCGGCGGACGGCCGGACCATTATGGAGCGACGGTCCGTGTTTGCACCCGCGCGGAGGAGGTGCGGTCTGGAGCTGGGCGCCTCCCTGGAGCTCTGCGACGCGGAGCCGCGCCGCCCGTCGCGCTCGCCCGCGCAGGTGGGCGAGGCTCTCGTGGACTACGTGAACGCGTTGCTCTTCAGTGGCCACGAGTCGTCAAAAGGCGACCATGTGATGGCGGCCCCGATGCACAGGTTCCCAGAGTACTCGAAGCAGGGCGAGTCCAAGACGCCGCGAGATTGGCGTTGCCTCCGGGGCTGGCGCAAGCTGGCGCCTGCGCGGAGCCGCCGGGCTTGGCCGCTGGCCCTCTGATGCGGGCTGGTGTGACGCGTGGTGGTGCGTGGGGCGCTGCAGATGGCCATCTTCCTGCTCGCCATGGTCTCGGGCTACTTCCGACCCAGCCACCTGCTCTCTTTGACGCGCGTCAACATCATCGCGCCTGCGCCATGAGTGCGCCGCTGGCGGTCGCTGCTCCTTCCCGGACAGCGAGCCGCTGCGCGGCAAGACGGGTCTGGCAGACGTCGGAGTGATGCTGGGCAGCGGCTGGTTTCAGTGCGCCGCGCCCGTCTTCCGCGAGATCGCGCAAGGGGCTCCAGAAGAGAAGTTGTCGGACTTCAGTTGCCTTCAGTTCCTGAAGATGTTTCGGATGGCGCTGCAGGGCCTGGGTGTCGAGCAGCACGTTGTTCCTTTCCAGGCTCGGCACTCAGGTCCGAGTACAGACGTGGCCAGGCACCGCAGAACGCTCGAGGAGATACAGAAACGGGGGCAGTGAAAACATGCCAAGTCGATGCAGAGGTACGAGAAGGCAGCTCGGCTCGGACAGACGTGGAGCTTGTTGCCGGCCTCCCTGCACGACATTGTGAGCGATTGCGGAAGTCGACTCGAGGACGTACTGCCCGGAAAAGGTGCAGGGGTGATTACCCAGTGAGGCGGCTGGGCCGCCAGCGCAGATACGTCTTAAATCTGTTTCCGGGTTTAGATTCGATTGGGCAAGCCGCCTTCGGGCGGGATTTCAATTACCGCGGTTTTGATAGTCAGAACGGCCCCGATGAAGATTTCACGCGTCCAGTCGTGATTGCTCGAATTCGCAAAGCCATTGCCCGCGGGGGCGTTATCGCCGCTTCACTCGGTCCTCCTCGTGCGTCTCAGGGCGCGGCGGCGGACGGAGGCCTCCGGCCAGTTCGCTCAACTTCGCTTCCGTGGGGCATCCCGGACGCCACAGAGCACGCTAAGAATAGGATCGCCGCTGGGAGCGCCACCTGCCGAGCAGCTCTGACCTCGATGAGATGTTTCGTGCGAGCTGGCGCCCCTTGAGTGCTAGGGCATCCCATCAACAGTAGAATTTGGCACGCAGAGCAATTGCAAGGCTTGGCTAAACAATGTGACGAGCACCGTAGGATTTGTGATCAGTGTCAGTTCCGGGTCCGTTGGAGGAAACGCACAAAGCTTTCATTCTTCGGCGTTGCATTTTGAAGCTGGATAGGCGTTGCCGCAGTTTTTGGCGGGATTTGTTCGGCCTCGGGTAAACCACGCGCTGTGCTTGAGGGCGAGGCCCAATCCCGCGCCACGTGGACTTCCTTTGCCGCGCCATGCCCGACAAAATTAGCTGATTGCATGGTGAACTGTTAGCTGAGCCGCCACAGGGACCTTGAGGCGGCATTCCTCTTATAGCCCGCCACGCCTTTCCAGTGAACCCTTTGGGATATTGGGCTTCCGCTGCGTCCCGAGATTCGCCTAAACGAGTGGCGCCTGGTAGCAAACATGTTCCCCACCGAATGTAGCAGTTAACCTATAGTATATATGTATGTGTGTATGATTGTACGTATGCATGCATGCATGCATGTATGTATGTGCGCAAGTGTGTAGGTTTGCACATATACAAGTGCGTGTGGATATATGTAACTACAATTGTAAGTATGCATACAAGTAGGTATGGATGGATGTATGTATGTAGTCATGGATTCATGAATGCAATCATGCACATATGCAAACATGTATATACAGACGCCCGAGTGTCGCTTGTGTGTATGCAGTTGTGTACGTATGGATGCACGAATGTATATACGTATGAATGTGCGAATGCACATAAGTGTATATATATATGTCGCGTATGTTTGTGCACATAAGTGTATATATACATATGGTTGTGCGTAGGTATGCATACACGTATGTATGTACCGCATGACTATGGGCCATGCATGTATCGCGTGCATATGTTTGTATGTGTACATGTAGACATGCGTGTATGTATGTATGTATGCATGCACGCATGCACGTTTACGCATATACATTTATGCACATGTACATATATATATATATATATAAAAAAAAAAGAGAGAGAGAGAGAGAGAGAGAGAGAGAGAGAGATTGTCATGACATACGTTTGGTGTTGCCGATTTCCAGCTATCTGGATGCGTCTGATACTGGAAATTGACGTCGAGCACCGACGGCCAACGATTATGGACAATGGTCCGATGATTGACGACGACTTTCGAGAGCGAGCCACGACGGCCGCGGCCCCGCGGCTCCTAGAGCAGACATGGTCTTCTCGGAAATCGTTGCACGGACCGGTTACCCTTTCCAGAGCGGACCGCCCCCCTCCCAGAGCGGACGGGGTCCGCCCCGGAAAGCGCTGCACGCTCTTCCCCGTGCCCTTCCCAGAGCACTCCCCCCTCCCCCTTGCAGAGCAAGCGGTGCACGCTCCGCCCCACACCCGTTTCAAAGCGCGCCCCCTTCCCCTCCCAGAGCGGACAGGGTTTCCGCGCAGAACGCGTTGCGCGCCCCCCTCCCGTGTCAGAGCGGAGCGACCCCCCCGTTTTCCCAGAATTGACAGGGTCCCCCCATGGAAATCGCTGCACGCCCCCCCTTTTCCCAGAGCGCCCCCCCGCCTCCTTCCAGAACGGGCAAGGGTTCCCACAGAAAGCGCTGCATGCCCCCCCCTCTCCCAGAGCGCCCCCCCCCCGTCAAGAGCGGACAGGGTCCCCCCAGAAAGCGCTTCATGCCCCCCCCCCCTCCCAGAGCAGACAGGGTCCCCCCGGAACACACTGCACGCCCCCCCCTTCCCAAAGCGTTCCCCCCCCACAAAGCGCTCCCCCCTAAAAGCGTCCCCCCCCCCAAAGCCTCCCCCCACCAAAGCGCTCCTGCCCCTCCAACCCCCCCCCCCCCAGCGTTCTCCCCCCAATGCGCTCCCCCCCAAAGCACTGCACTCCCCCCCCTCAAAGCGCCCCCCCTGCCAAGAGCGGACAGGGTCTCCCCCGAAAGCGCTGCACAAGCGTTTCAGCCCCCCCCCCCCCCCCCCCCCAGAGATATCCCCCCCCATCCCAGAGCGGACAGGGCCCCCCCCCCAGGGAAAGCGCTGCACAAGCGTTGCACGCCCCCCCCTTGCCAGAGCGGAGCTTCAGCGAAGGACGAGCCCACGTTCTATTAAACTCACACGTCAGACCGGCTCTTTATATATGTATATATACATACATGCACATTTAGCTTACATACATTCATGCATACATGCATACGTACATACATACATACATACATACATACATACAAACAAACATGCATACATACATGCATACTTACACACATACATACACACATACATACATACATACATGCATGCAAGCATGCATACATACATACATACATACATACATACATACATACATACATGCATGCATGCATACATGCATACATGCATGCACACACACATACATACATTTATATATACATACAGACATGCATACATACATACATGCATACCTACCTACATACATACATACATACATACACACATACATACATATATACAGACAGACAGACAGACAGACAGACAGACAGACAGACAGACAGACAGACAGACAGACAGACAGACAGACAGACAGACATGCATGCATGCATGCATACATACATACATACATGTACACACATACACGTGTGTGTGTGGTGTGTGGTGTCTGGTGTGTGTGTGTGTGTGTCAAGGTGTGTGTGAGAGTGTGTGCGTGTGCGTGGGATTCTTCTCGGAAAGACAAGTACTCGTAGTCGGTATGTTCCGACCAGGATGAGGGCAAGCTGGGGGGCAAGGGAGGACGAGGTAAAACCAGATGGAAAGTTGTCTGGCCCGTGCTCATAAGAGAGATGTGCAGGGAGGTTGGGTACCCAGGTCGGCAACCATAGAAGACCAGGCTGAGGGCGTAGTGGAATTTCTTTGTGCGTTGTTTGTCTTCATCAGACCCGCCAGAAATGGTTTCTATTAGAGTTGCTCTGAGACGGGATGAGGACAAACACTTGTAATTATTGGCTGGTGAAACGAAGTGGGGCACCAGTCCAACCAAGTGAGGGGTGGGGAGCCTCTTGGCGCCGTCTTGGGGCACTCCTTGAGCCCTTTCGGGAGGTTTGGGAAGCCTTTGGGGGTACACCTGGAGCCCTGCCAAGAGCCTTTCGGGCCCTTGTGAGGCCATTGGCTAATCAGAGAGAAACGTTCTCAAGACTCGCCCACGTGGAACCCCTATCGAATCGCATCTTGGGGCCCTCTTGAACTTCTCTTGGATGATTTTCTTTTGGGGCCCTTCTGTGCCATTGCTTGGGGCCCTGTTTGCTCATCTTGGGGGCACACAGGCCCGTCGGAAGCCCAAGAAGCGGCAAGACGACAATTTGTTGAAGCACGTTGTAGCTCGATGATTGCTGCCTCTCGAGGTGGGAGAAAGGCTCAGGGCTTGGCCTACCTGAAGCCATCTTGGGGCGGCCTCTTGAAGGGAAAATGCCATGGTGGAGGGCACCTTGGCGAACCTGGGCCATCTTCTTGGAGGTCATCTGTTGCTATTTTGGGGTTGGTTTTGAAGTCTCTTTGGGTCTTCTTGGATGCTCTAGCCCATTGCCCAGACTACCAGGGATAAGTATGCATATCCTGGACGGAATAGAGAGATACTTTGAAGCAGCTGAGCCGCTAAATCACCTGCGGCCGAATGGCTGGTGGGATTTTGGTGCGTTCACCTTTCGACCTGCATCCTCATCATATCTCCACCCTTCGCGCCAGCACAGTACCTCTAGCGTTCATGCTATAGCACGGCCAGTTCGATTTCCACCAAGAGAGAGGCAAGGTGGGCCTGCGGGCCCATCCAGAGTGATGCCTGGTGGTGTGGGGTCTGGGCGGGGGGGCGGGTTGCCAGGCAGGGAATGCGATGCAGAGGCGGGCCCGAGGCGAGGCGAGCACGGACGAAGGGCAGGGGGACGAGACGGCAGGGGCGACGAGGGCGGAGGGGTGGCGCCGTCGCCGTCCGCGCTGCCATCGACGCCGTCGCCGCCGCTCGACGGCGCCCCCGCAGGCCCCGCGGCGGGCCCCGCGGCGGGCCCAGCGGCGGGCCCCGCCGGACCGCCGGGCCCCGCTGGACCGGCCGGCCCCGCCGGGCCGCCGGGCCCCGCTGGACCGGCCGGCCCCGCCGGGCCGCCGGGCCCTGCCGGGCCGGAGGCGCCGGGCGAGGCGCCCGCTGCCGCCCATTGCCGCCGCCGTCGCGGTCGTCGCCATCGTCGCCGCCGTCGTCGTCATCGTCGCCTCCAGGGATCCCTAAGGGCTTGACGACTCTTCGCCAATCGACTTGTGGTGATCGAGCCAGATAAACCCAGGTAAGTGCAGACAAATCCAGGTAAATGCAGATAAATCTAGGTAAATTCAGGTAAATCCGAGAAAGTCCAGGTAAATCCAGAGATCTTCAGGGACATTTGGAACAAGTTGCGGCCGCTCTAACGCGAGTCGAAGGACGGCAGAAGTCGTTAAGCCTTTAACAAAGGGAGGCTCAGATACCGATGCCGCAGCTCCTCCCAGAGATCCCTCGTCGCCGCGGCCGGATTCGGCGCGGAGTTCCTGGCTCGTCGGAGCGCACTCTGAGACAGGTCCAGAGAGCAGCCTACCGCCCACTGCCGCTGCCGCCGCCGCCGTGGCCGTCGTCGCCGTTCAGAGGAGTGCGATCGTCGCCTCCAGGGAGGCTAAGATACCGATACCGCAGCTCCTCCCAGAGATCCCTCGTCGCCGCGGCCGGATTCGACGCGAAGTTCCTGGCTCGTCGGAGCGCACTCTGAGACAGGTCCAGAGAGCAGCCTGCCGCCCACTGCCGCTGCCGCCGCCGCCGCCGTGGCCGTCGTCGCCGTTCAGAGGAGTGCGAGTTGAGCTGGCTGTAGTTGGCCTTCGGGGGGCCCCCTCGGGCGCCACGGCTGCACACCAGCTCGGCGCTTGGTGCGTCTGGGCCCATGGATGAGTCCAGAGGGATTTTGACTTGTTGTTGTCTCAACTCGCCCCGCTCCGAGCCTTCGTCGACGTCGCCGTCGTCGTCGCCGCCAACGCCGCCGTCGTCGCCGTCGGCGCTGCCGTCGCCGCCGTCTTCGTCGCCGCCAACGCCATCGTCGCCGTTGTCGCCGTCGCCGTCGTCCCTGTCGTCGATATCGCGAGATCGAGTCGTGAAGGAATGCTGAGTATGGTCGAAGCACGGGACGAGCGTGGGAATCGTTGCAGCTTCACGTGGAAGAGCCACTTGAGGATGCTCGAGCAGGAACTGCTACTCTCAGGTGCTTCTGGTGGGTTTGATGGACTACGCTAGAGCAGTTTTATGCGTCTTTGTACTGTGGCCTGGAGCACTACGATCTTCCAATTTGATTAGTCGGCATTGGTCGCACGAGGACTTCGAGTTCGCAGGACACGTCCCCAGCTTCAAGCTACACGAGAGCACCGTTCAAATCAAACCAGACAGAGTATGCTCGCAGAAGGCCTTCTGGTTTCGGAGAGCTGGGCAGACGGTCTGATCTTAGGCGCGGCGTGCATTCATATTCTCACACTTTGGTAGCGATCCAACGCCATATCAGTAATATGATATGCAATGTGTCTTGTAGTCGGTTCGCTCACTCCGCCGGCCCATAATTATTGCCTTGCCGCTGTCGTTTGTCGGGGTGTGCCTATTGGGGCTCTCTTGGGATGCCTCTTGGTGGTGTGAAGATGTTGCAGGCCATGCCGGTGGCGACGCCCGCATCCCTCTACCTCTATCCTCAGTGTGCGTTGCCCTCAAGGCGCACGTGCCTCTAGGGGCGTCCCGACTCATAATGCGGGCTCTGTCCCCCATGGGGGCACATGCAGATCGGCTCTCTCAGGCATCTCAGGCACACTCATCCCTTCCACAGGTGGCCTCTTCGGGGTCTTGTACGTGTCGTGGGCCGTCTGGAAGCCATCGTGGGTGTCCCGGACCGATCGTTCCACGAGTGCCACTTGGAGCGCTGCCGCTTGCCCGAGTGATCGTCGTCAATGCGGTGTAACTGGGTGGGGTTGTTGATTATCGAGCACGCCTGCGGCGAATCACCGCCGCCCCCTGGCCCCTTCGGAAGCGCCTGTGTGGCGGCCAGAGGCCTGCCGAGCTATCGGACCATGTGCTCCCCGAATCGGTTCGGTTTGGAGAACGGTCAGGGAACACGGTGGGGGAGGAGGAAGGGGATGAGAGGGAGGGAGAAGGAGAAGGGAGGGGGAGGCCTCGTGGGAGCCTCTTGGGCTACTCTAGGGTTTTGTTGGGCCATCTTTGCGGTCTGGGAGGCCGTGCTGTTGCTTTCTTGGGCTCTCTTGGAGCCTCTTGAGGGCCTCTTGAGGGCCTTTTTGGGACTTCTCGGGGGCCCCTTTGGCCGCGCTTCGGGCGTTCCTGGCCCGTCGGGGGCCGTCTTGGGGGCCTCTCTGAACCGGCTTGGGGCCCTCTTCGGGCGCTTCGGGGTCGTCTTGGAGGCCATTTTCGGCGTCTTGGAGGCCTCTTGGCCCGTCTTGCGGCCCTCTTGGGGCCATCTTGGAGGCCTCTTGGACGGTCATGGGGCCCTCTTGGAGGCCTCGTGGGCGATCTTGGCGGCCTCTTGGGCCGTCTTGAGCCGTCGGAATGTCGAGAAGAGGCAAATGCCAAAATCCTTCAAACACTAAGGAAAATCAATGATTTTGGCCTCTTCGGGCCCTCCTGGAGGACCTCTTGGAGACCTCTTGGGCCGTCTTGGAGGCCATCTTGGACCATCTTTGGCGGACTTGGAGGCCATCTTTGACAATCTTGGAGGCCATCTTGGGCCGACGTGGCCATCTTGGACGCCATCTTGGACCGTCTTGGAGGATTTTTTGGGGAATTGAGCTCCTTGAAGATCGTCCCAGGACTCCCGCGGGACGCGCAGAGCCCCAGGGGGAGTTTTTTGGAAAAGAACCCAAACCGAAAGGGTTCAGCATTTCGTCAGGCTATTTTTTTTTTTTTGGGGGGGGGGGCAGTTTTTGTTTTGATGTGGCCGTCGTTTTGGGCAGGCTAGGCTTCCCAGGGACCCACGCGAGAACCGCCAGCAGTTCCGAAGAACCACCGGGGCATCCAAGAGTTGCGGCAACTAAACCCTCACGAACCCTCGGGATCTTCTAACGTCGTGGGCGGGAGGACTGTGTGTAGGGATATTATGGCCAGGGCCGTGAGACTTCCCAGATATCATGCCCCCCTCAATTTTTAAACGCATCCCCTGCCCCCCCTCTCTCGAGCACACTCATCGGGCCATGACACACTGATCCCCGCTGTTCTTGGCCCACCTCGGCACACCCGAGCATGATCCATCTTTCGACGCTCGCATCTGTAATGGCCCTGGGCCGGTCCCCTACAGCCACACGCTGCAGTAAGGACCGCTTGGGGCTCGGGAGGAGCTCTGGTTCTCGGGCCGCTGCGCAAGTCAAGGTCCGGGAGGCTGTGTTGTGGCCGAGGCTCGCCGTGGCCAGGAACGCCCATGCGTTCCGCTTCGCCCCTTCTGCTGCCGATGATCAAGAGAACGTCATGCACAGAAGCCTTCCGGAGGTCCGGCGGATTGCTCGGATCGGCCTTGGGCCCCCCGCCCTGGCGGCGCCTCCGGAGTCGCCCCTGGCGCGCTCCGCGTGCAGAAGTTTATGCCTGTGCAGGTGCTCGTTCCTCTACCCGTGGCAGGTGCCCCAGACGGCACGGTGACAATCCAGGGGCGGAGCGTCCTCGACGCCTGGCGCGAGCAGCGGCTCTGCTCTGGGCCTCCCGAGCGGCACCGGCCTGCCACTGCGCACCTGCCCGGGCAGGCAGGAGCCGGGGAACCGCCGCCGCCGTCGTCGTTGCCGTCGCCGTCCCACGTCGCCGCCACTTCGTCCTCGTCGTCGCCGCCGCCGTCGCGGCTGCTGCCACCGTCGCCGCCGTCGTCGTCCCGCGTCCTTCGTCGCTCGTCGTCGTCGCTCGTCGTCGTCGTCGCCGTCACCGTCGCCGTCGTCGTCGTCGCCGTCGTCGTCGTCGTCGTTGTCGTCGTCGTTGTCGTCGTCGTCGTCGTCCGCCCGCGCCGCCCGCCGCGCGCGCAGAGGCCGAGCCGCAGTCCTCCGTGGGGCCTGCGCCGCGGCCGCGCGGGCCCCTGGGGCCGTCCAAAGCGGAGCGGCCCGAGGCGCTGCCGCTGCCCGCGTTGCTGGGCCGCCACCGTCGCCGCAGCCGCAAGCTCGGGCTCGGGCTCGGCCTCCGCCGCGGCCTCGGCCTCGGCCTCGGAAGAGGAGAAGAAGCCGGCCCGCGGTGCTGGCCGCGGCCTCGGCCTCGGCCTCGGCCGCGGCTCAGAAGAGGAGGAGGCCGCCCCGCGTTTCTGGCCGCAGCCGTCGCCGCAGCCTCGGCCTCCGCGTCGGCCTCGTCACTGGCCTCAGGTCCGAGGGGGACAAGATGCCGACACCCATGAGGAGCACCCTGAAGTTCTTTCCCGCGGCCCGCAATAGTTCCATCTTCTGGTTCGCACGTCCGCTGCGTTATGTGCGAACGCGGGCGTGAGTCCAACGTGACTCCGACTGGAGCCCGACTTACTTCCGACGAGGATCCGACCTAAATTGGGTCTCGAGTTGCCGCGTGAATCTTACAGGTTTCTCCTTATGACGACACCGCTACCCGCCCCTCGCAGCCACGACAGGAGTTGCCTTGGATGCCTGGTCAGAGGGCGACCGGGGTGAGGCCCGGGGATTGGCCGTATCGGCTTCTGCTTACCTCCCCTATCAGCCCCAGCCTCGCCTCAGCCCCCGCAGCTGACATCCGAGGGATTGCTTATTTTTGTTTCTCGATCCCAGCGCGCGTCTTCCTTTACCGTCGGCCCCCGGGGGGCCCGATCTCGAGGCCCGGGGCCGTCAAGCATGGGCGAGTGGCTGCCCCCGTGGAAGTGGTCAAGACCTTCTCCTGGGCGCGGATAAGGAACTCACGGCGTCGGGTGCCCAGGCCCGCCGCCGTCGTCCTCGTTTTCGTGGTGGCCGCGACCGACGTCGTCGTCATGGCCGCCGCCGCCACCGAAATCATTGTCGTGGTCGGAAAAGGAGGAGAATGAGGACCAGTGCAAGCACAAAATGCATCAACGATGTTGCAATGAAGCCTCCCTTCAAGTTCCCTCCTCACAGGCCCTTGCAAGGTCTTTCACTGAGTGAAGCACCCCGCTGGGCCAGCCGTTTGGAAATCCTGAACCTTGCCAGAACACCGTTCTTGGTACTTCAACGCCGTGAACCAGCAGGTTTATTGGTGCGTGTTGCCGATTCTGAACCGTGCCAGCATGCCACTCCTGTGAAACATATAATAACCGTGTTGGTACGTACGCAGTGTAGCATAGCAGGCAGGCAAGCATGCAGAGTGTATTGACCCCTGCAGTGCTTATTGTGCCTCAGTACGTCCCAGGGCCCTTGCGCTTGGGCGTACCGGTGGGGGCCATCGCGGGTTCCGCCAAGCAGCCATTTTTCGCCATCCATTGCGGATAGTATTGATATAGTCGTTGTGTATTTGCTGACACAACTTCGCGGTTATTACTGCACTAAGACCCCGCTTTGCAGCATTGGGTCTGCATTGGTAGCAGGAGCTAACTCGACCACGGCAACTTGCGCGACTTCGCAGAGTCAATAAAGGCACCTACAAGCTCGTGATTGCGACTGACACCTCTCATTTGGGGTTGTTTGCGTCGGACACCTTTTCATTCGGAGTTGATTGCGTCTGACACCTCTCATTCGGAGTTGCCGCCATGGCGACTACTGGAGGAGCCGCTGCAGCCAGCGGCGAAGACAATAATAGCGTGGGCAAGATTCCCGTGCCCGTCTTCGACGGCACGAGCAAGGCGATGAAAAAAATCCGCCGAAAAGTCGCCACCTGGCAAATTGGCACCGAGGTCAAGCTGCCCAAGCAGGGCGCGACGCTCATGGCCAGCCTCAAGGGCAAGGCCGAGGAGGCGTGCGAGGAGCGCGACCTAGAGCCCATCAAGGGCGACGACCTGGCGGAGGTTTTCTTGGAGTACCTCGGGGAGCGCTTTCCCGAGATTGAAGTATTGGAGTTACCAGCGCTCCTGGAGACAGTCGTGACGCTGGCATACACCTGGCACAAGTTTGAGGGGACCCGCGATCAGCAATCGCTTCAGCAGCACAGCGACGAAGCTGAGAGCTAAGGACATCCAGGTGCCCGACGAGGTCTTGGCCGACCCGTGCATCAAGGGCGCCCGCCTGCCACCAGAGCGCGCGGCGAGCGTGCTCAACGGCGTGGGCAACAAGTTCAATCCCACGAAGATCCAGGGGCAGCTCATGATCAATTTGCCCAATGCATCGGTCGCGGACGGCAGCGAAGAGCATCGCCACGGCAAGGGCGGCTACGGAGGTCGCAAGAAGGACCGCGAGAAGGCTGGCGCCACGGATGCCTATGACGAGGCCGAGAACGACGGCGCGTGCACCGACAGCTCCGAGGGCTACGACGACGACTTGCCCGACGAGCTGCAGTATGTGATGGGCGAGGCGGAGGGGCAGGTGGCTTTCTTCGCCAAGAAGATGGTGCGCGCCAGGGACAAGCTAAAGGTGGCGAAGCAGGCGCGCGGCTACTTCGCCAAGCGAGGCGGCGGGCATCCGCCGAAGAAGGACGATGCCAAGATCGCCAAGATGAAGGCGAGGACGCGCTGTGGAGCTCGCGGCCAGAAGGGCCCCTGGGCGCGGCGACCCGCAGCGCTCCAAGAGGAATGGCCCCAGCGCGAGGGCCGACATCCCGCGAAAGGGGAGTCGCAAGACGAACGTGACCACGAATGACGGGGCCGGCGACGCGCAGGGGCCCACGTCGCGGAGATGACGGTCGCGGCGGTCCACCAGCACGAGCAGCCGAGGGCGGCCCAGGATCGGGGGGAGGTCACCTTCGGCAACGCGCTGCGCAACGTGCCCGAGGAGGTGACGGCAGACTCGTTCTACATCAACAAGGACAACTAGTGCCGCATGGCCGCGACGGGCTCTGCGCTCATCTACATCAGCGTCGAAGACGCACTCAAGGAGTCGGGCGGCAATCTGACTTTTGACACTGCCTGCCCGCGGTGCGTCGGCGGCCTGGACTGGCGCAACGACATCATGAAAAAGCTGGCGGCCTTCGACTTCCAGCCGATCGAGTGCCAGGAGAAGGAGCCGTTCCGCTTCGGAGCGCCCAAGGTGGCGCACAGCCTCAGGGCGGCGCTGATTACCTGCTCGGTGAATGGCAAGGCCTTCGCCGCGCGCATGGGCATCGTGCGCGGCGCCGCGCCTGGGCCGTCCAGCCGCCAGGCCCAGAGCGAGCTGGGCGACGTCTACCACGCAGGGGACAACAAGCTGGACATCAAGTCCGTCAACGAGCACGGCGCCCAGATGGACGCTCGAGATCGCAGGCTTCGCGCCAAGCTACAAGCCCGCGTCGGACGTCTCTGGCGCCAAGACCGAGATCCAGCTGCATTTTGTTTCGAGTTACCGCGCTGAGACTGCCGTGGCCAGCGCCGCCAGGCCGGCAGCGCCCGAGCGCTGCGACCAAGGGGTCGCCTCGGAGGCCGACGAGTCTCAGTCGGAGATTGACTGTGACGACCTCGACAGCGCTGAACTGTTCGAGCAGCAGGTGTGCCAGGCCATGTGCGCATGCATTCCATCGCCTCAGTCATCATCGGGGTCGGAGGACGAGGCATTGGGATCTATTCCTACGTCCGCCAGCGCAGCACAGATCATGCAAACCGATTACACAAGACGAGGAGCTAAACTAGACAGCGACCTTCAGCCACACCGTGTCCGATTTCAGCAGCAAGCAAGCGGCACCGAGCTACGAGATCAGCCATCCGCATGGAGCCATCAAGCGGCATCATCACCGCAGCCATCCGGCTCGAGTTCATCTCAGGCCCCAACAGCTTTCACGACGCGTGCCGTGGCAGATCTTGCCACCGCAGCTTTTCACGAACCAGCGGCCGGAGTTCGCGCCCCCGTCGGAGCGGAAATGCATGACATCTCCCAGGGCGACGAAACCGGAGGTCAGCTGCTCGAATGCGCCGACGCCGAGTACTTGCTGCCTGCCGACGATCTCCAGCATGCGGATGGGGGTCCTACAGGCGGAGGTGGCAAGCTACGAGTTGCATGCGCGCGACGCGACGTGCGACCAGCTCCGCGTCATCTTGCGCGGGCTGAGGGCCGCGGGCCAGGACATGAAGGCGCAGGCCATCCCCGGGCTCGGCAAGATGCGCAAGCACGAGCTCCAGGAGCTGCGCAGGATGAAGGGCATCGACGTCGACCAGCACACGACCGCGCCGGAGCTCAGGCAGAGCCTGAAGGGCTGGAAGGTCGAGAACGCGGTCAGCGGCGCCTCGAGCAACGCGGCCAATCCAAGCTCGCAGATCACGGGGAGCGACAAGATGCGCTTCGGCAAGTACCCGACCGCGGCTTACCGCTTGGTGCTCAAGAACGACCTGGGTTACACGCGGTGGGCGGTGCTGGAGCTGGGCGACGGCCGAGCGAGCCCGCCCCTGGCTCACGGGGTGAGGCCGCTCGAGCCAGAGAAGCTCAAGACCACCATCGAGGAGGTGATGGCCGATGAGGTGGTCCTGGACGACGAGTCGGCGGCGCTGGCGGCGACGATCCCGCGGACCTCGGCAAGTCGAGGCAGCTGGGCGGGTCGCCGTCGCCCGAGGCCGGGCGACCACGGCTTCCAGAATGCGGGCTAGACCGACCAGGAGACGGACGCGGCGTCTCCGCACGACGAGGCCTGGGCGGCGGCAGCCGCCAGGGCTAGCCGCCAGCCTCGGGCCGGCGGCCAGGCATCAAGAAGGGCAAGCGCGTCGGCCTACTCTACCAGGTCACGTGCTTGCTGAGCGCCTTCCGTTTTCAGGCGGTGCTCGCGGCGGACTGGCCGCCCCAATTTCTCAAGCCGTTTGCTCAGCATGCGACGAGCGCCGCGCGGGACGTGGAGGGCCACGTGAGGAACGTCAAGGAGGTCTACACGGTCCAGAGCCACGGCGTAGACGCCATGCAGATGTTCGGAGGCGAGGAGGCATTGCCGAGGCGGCAGTGCGCCGCAACATGACGGCCACGGAGGTGATCGACCGTAAGTCGGGTTGGGACCTCTGCAAGCAGCAGGACCTCGAGATGACGTGCGAGCGGTGCTACGCACCGAGGCCGAAGTTCGTCTCGATCGAGCTTCCTTGCGCCGACTACGCGAACATTACGCACCTGAACTTCCGCGCGCCGCAGGGCAAGCAGGCACTGCGGCGATTGTGGCGCGCGGAGCGGCCATTCCTTTTCTTGGCCCGCGACCTCTTCAAGTCTCAGCTCGTCTCAGGCGGCGTCGCCATGATCGAGAGACCGGCCACCAGCCGGTTCTGGGCACAGCGCATCATGATGGAGCTACTTGCCGACGAGCGCGTGTACCAGGTGAGGTGCGATATGTGCGAGTACGGGGCTCGGCACTGCATGGCGGGGGGCCTCGTCGAGCACCCCGCCAAGATGCTCGTTGCCCATGAGGAGTTCGAGCGGCTACGCCGCACCTGCAGCCGCGCGCGCCACGACCAGACGTGCGGGGACAACGTGGCGGCGCGGAAGTCTGGCGCTTATCCAGCCAAGTTCTGCCGAGCGGTGGTGCGCATCGCCGAGCAGATCATTCGCCGGCAGGGTGGGCCTCGCGCCGACCAGGCGGACTGCGGCGCTTCCTCGTCGCCCTTCATCGCGACGGAGTTGAAGGAGCAGGCCGCCGCCTACGTGAACGACCCCGCGCCTCTGGGAGAGACCGGCGAGCCTATTGGGGACCCAGACCCCATGGGCGGCGGAGACGACTTCGCCGACGCTCACAACGTGAAGGCCGACGAGACTGTGGACCCCAGGATCGGGGTCGGCGCGGTCACTTTCACAAGGAAAGCAGCAGCCTGTTGCAAGCCAGCCGCGCTGGCCATGCTTAAGAGACTCCACGCCAACTTGGGCCATTCGTCCAATGAAGACTTGGGCCGCAGCCTGCGACTCAAGGGCGCTAAGTCGGCCACTGCGCAGGCCGTCAAGCGGTTGATCTGCGGAGTGTGCCGCTCGCAGCATCGCCCGGGCGCAAGGAGACCAGCGCGCCTCCATTTCGTGCAAGGTTTCGGCGACGACGCGGGTTTCGATTGCTTCGAGCTCAAGGGCGTTGACGGCAGGAGCTACTGGTACTTCAGCATCGTCGACTTGGCCACTACCTTCCACGTCGCGACGTTGATCGGTCGCCACACCAGCCAGGAGTTCGCTACGGCCTTCGAGAGGTGCTGGGCCTCCTGGGCGGGCGTCCCAGACCGAGTCCACTTCGACATGGACAGGGGTTTCGGCGGCGTTCTCAGCGAGCTGCCTCAGTCTTCCTACACGGTGCAGCTACCTATCGCGGGACAGGCCCACTGGCAGCTCGGTCGAGTAGAACGTCAGGGAGCTTGGTGGAAGGAGCTCGCTGCACGGACGATCGAGCACTCGTCGATCAGGGGCGAGGACGAGATGCGGACACTGGGCATCATGGTGTCAGGCGCGAAGAACTCGCTGAGGTGGCGGGCCGGCTTCAGTCCCGCGCAGTGGGTGCTGGGACGCGATCCCAAAGATGCCCGCCGACCTAGTGGACGACGCGGCCAACTACAGTGCCCACAGCCTCGCCACAAATGACGAGAATATTCGCCGCCGATATGCGCGAGTCGTTCATGCGGATGCAGAGCGACGACCAGCTCAGACGAGCTATGCTGGCTCGCGCGCGCACCGTGGTCACACCCTTGTCAGTGGGCGAGATGTGCTACACTTCCGCCAAGTCAAGAAGAAAGAGCAGACGGAGCAGCACAACCGCCACGCCAAGAAGGCCATCTGGCAGGGGCCGTGCGTGGTCATCGGTCACCAAGGCAACAACCCCCGGGTCTCGCTGGGAGGGCACGCCATGCTGGTGGCCCCGGAGCACATCAAGGCGCTCGCTCAGGACGACGTCTGGCCCCCGAACGGTCGGGGCGAGATCGGCCAGGCCGTGGCCGAGCTCAACAGGGCCCGCGACTCACTCGAGCAGGAGGGGGCCCCGGTGGAGGACATCCGCCCCGAGACGGGCCAGCCCGAGGTCCAGCCAGACGAGATGGAGCAGGCGTGGCGGGAGTTCATCGACAGCCCAGACGACGACGACCTGAGGATGAACGGTCCTGAGGACCCGAAGCCCCAGGAGCAGATCGAGGTGCTGCCCGCCGACCGAGCCGACATGCCCCAGTCAGCCTTGGAGGAGCAGCCCTATGGCCCCGTCGAGTTCCGACGACGGCGGGCGACCTTCGAAGGGGCGGACAGCGGCGATTTCGGTCCGGCCCTCAAGCGCCTGCAGACCGCCGAGGAGCACGCGGGCTCCGGAGGACTGCCCCCGAGGACAGCCTCGCGCGATCGGGCGGCCGCGCCCGACGGCGGAGCAGCGGCCGGATCCGAGCAGGAGGGCATTAGAGAGCGTTCGAGGTCGGCTCCCAGAGATGCGATGCAGATCTCCATCGACGCCGAGAGGGTCAAGCGCAAGCAAGCCGACAAGGAGATCCACTGGAGGGCCATCAAGGACTCCGACTGGGAGCTCCACCGAGAGGCGGTGGCCAAGCAGTGGAGCGAGTGGCAGAAGTACGGATCCTGTCAGGTGTTCACCATCGAGGAGTCCGAGGCGGTCAGGGGCAGGGTCAAGGCGAACCTCATCTTGCCCGGCCGGTTTGTGCATCGGGATAAGAACGCGCCGCTGCGGACTGACAAGCGACCGCTGCCGGTCAAGGCCAAGGCCCGACTCTGCGTCGGGGGTCACATGGGCCCGCGTCTCGCTCAGGGCGACCTGCGCGCAGACGCGCCTACGGTCACCCGCAACTCGACGATGCTGTTCTTCACCGTCTGTCAGAGGTTCGACCTGGAGATTTACGCAGCGGACGCGGAGGCGGCTTTCATGCAAGGCGACGAGCAGCCCAGCAGTTGCACATGGCTCGGCCCCGCGA